CCTCTTCACTTCCATTATTGTCCTGCACTGTGACCTTTGGTAGATTTCCTACCACATTCAAAGCCCCTGAATCCAACATTAAGTGTTCAACAGAACTATGAACTGCCAACAATAGTGCATCATGTGATTCTTCGTATACCACATTTACGCTATCATTCTCCATCTTCTTAGGATTCATACAGTTCTTCTTTATGTAGCCAGCCTTGCCACAATTCCAACAGGTTGTCTGCTTACTAAACTTTGATTTTGATCTCCCTATACTTGAGTTATTGTCATGTCATCTCCCTCTGAAATCGACATTCAGTGCCGAACTCAAACCTGAGATCTTGCCAGAATTTTTCATGCGAAATTCCTCAGCCAAAATCAAATCACAAATATCATCGTATTTCAGTTTAGATTTACCAGTAGAACTGCTAAATACTATCCTCATGGCTTCCCAACTATCTGGTAATGAAAATAATAAGATCAGTGCACATATCTCATCATCAAAATCAATTTCCACATAAGTCAATTGATTTGTGATAGTATTGAAAACATTCAGGTGTTGAGCAAAAGAAACAGCTTCTGCCATCTTCAAATTGAATAACTTTTTCATCAAGTGCACATTGTTATTCGTCGATAGCTTTTCATACATACCTGATAAGGCTGTCATGCGATCTGAAATCGTCTTTTTCTTGACGACGATGTATGCAACAGACATCGATAGGGTCAATCGAATAACTCCCAGAACTTGTCGATCCAACAAATTCCATTCAGCCTCATCCATCATTTCAGGTCTTATTCCTAATAACGAAAGATGAAGTTTCTTCCCATAAAGATAATCCTCTATCTGCATTCTCCAATAACCAAAATTTGTGTCATCAAACTTTTTGATCACTGAAACCTTCAGTTCATCTGCAACCATCATTCTTCCTCGGATCCAAAACCACGCTCTGATACCAGTTGTTGTTGCGAGATCTAAATATACACAAATTGGTATATACATAAATCAAACAGGAGAACGGTCGATGAAGCAAAAAATAGAATGAGAAAAACTCACATCAGAAAAGAACAACACCACATCGGAACATGCATATTTACGTGATTCAACAAATTTCCTACGCCCACAGAGTTGCAGAGGATTTTACTACTTGAGGAATTTACATCAGTCAATCACCTCGACTTACAAGAGTAATCTCTCACACTCCGTTGCTCTCTCTTTTCTTCTCTTTTTGTTCTTCTCTCTCTATACCGAGATAAACCGAAGAAAACTCTACACTGAGATACACCGAAGAATACAAACTTACAAGAAAAATAAACATAATTTCTCTTCTGCCACAAGCCACCAAGAAGAAGCTCAGAGAGAACGATCTTCTTCTTCTTCCTTCTGCCTCAAGGAACAACTCCTCCTTGCATTTCTCTTCCTCTGCCCCGAAAAAATCTTCCTTTATCCCGAGAAAACCGAAGAAGAACTCAAAGCGTGACTACAAAACCCAAGGAGAGTCATCCGAAGCGTTTATTACGAACAGGAGGGAGCGAATAGAAGTTTCACTTCACAAAAGAGGAAGGCAAAAGCGTTTATTTGTGAAGAATTGTGACTCTCTAAAGCAAAGTAATCGCCCAAGCATAGTGGACCGGACTCCACTGTTTCTAACACCTGACGTCGAAACCTCTCGTCGAACCGAAACCCATCTGAACCGCCAAAGCTTAAGCCGCGATTCCTCTATTGTGATTAGCAACATCACGATTTTTTGTCGTGATTCCTCTGTCGATCTCGTCGACGCCTTCTTGCGCCTCTGTCGATCTCGCCAACGCCTTCCTACGCCGACTCCTCCAAAGCTTCGCCGGACTCCTACTATCCGCGCGCTCCTGGTGACACACTTGAAGCCTTCGCAAAAAAAGCCCTCGTCTTCCTGCCAAACCGTCCAAAGCCCTTTTCATTTTCAAACTTCCTCTGCGCTGAAATTTGAATTGTCACGAATCTCTAGCTGTCAATCTCCTCTGCCAAAAACTTCTCTATTCTTGTGCCGCCCAATTTTTTCTTCCCTACCCTCGAACCAGGCTCTGATACCACTTGTTGAGTAATTAGGGTGATGAAAAACAGTAATCGACACAAATTTAGATGAACACAAAGAGATTTAACGCGGTTCAACAAAGATATCTACGTTCTAGGGAGCAGAGCTGCAATTCCTTTTTAAATTCAGAAAAGGGCTACATAATTCAAGGTTTCAGCTCTCGGTGTCTCAGAGAGCCAGAGACTCACCTAAGATTACAAACATGACATATATATAACCCTATAGTACGATATGTAATTACTTAAATTACCCCTGCCCTGTATCAAACCACCGCGAGTGTTGCCCCGACACTCTCAACCCACATAATTAAACTCTCCCGATTGGATAGATCATTCCGCTCCACTTCGCTCATGGGCTCTGCTCCTCTTCAACATCTGTCCATTTATGGCATATGAGGCATACCTAATAATATTTATATGAAAAACAATCATTAATTCGATAATATTTTATTTTTTGTTTTTTTTTTTTACCATCAAATTTATCTAAAAATGTATGTGCAAAATTTTCATAAATTTTCATAACATTTATAAAAATCTCTGCCAACAAAACTAATATGTGATAACTTATATTGAAATTTTTAATTGCAGGAGTCCCCCCTCCTGTGAAGGTTCAATTATTATTATCTTTTTATTTACAAACAAAAGTACTTAAGGTTGGTTAATAATAACTAGCTTTTTAGTTATTCATTTTAAACGCCTTCTAAGTGAGTCGAGTGTCAAGAGAGGGTCTGTTTGGGGCAGTTGCAGCTTATTAAAAAGTAGTTGTGAATTTGCTAAAAAATAATCTAATATTCAAAAAACTGCGGTGTCAATTACATTTTTTTCTTAAGTCTACTCATAACTAGAAAACTGCCACCACATATAGTCATGAACAGTAGGAAAACATAGATTTCAGCAGTAACTTTTTGAACAAACTGTCAAAATGAAGTTTAACCAAACAAACAAAACTATAGTGCGGTGTCGCACCGTCGCCCCAAACCCACTCAACGACTTTTTATATTATCTCATTTAAGTCCCGTGCATATAAAAGTGTCTAGATTCCATAAATTGTGATTGAAATTATTCTTTGTACAGACTTCTCAAGAAAAAAAGAATATAGTAGAAAGCATAAATCATAACACAAAATGACACAAATAAAATACTAATGTACTAACAATGGAGTTCATCATACGATATAAGGTATCATCTTTCATTCTACAACTTATACAAGTTCTCCATACACGAAAGGCTCCTGTAACACCACTTAAAACAATTGAAATGGATAAAAACAATTGCCAACATACTAAAGGCAAAAGGGAAAATTCCTTACAGCTCCAAGAGCATTCAAATTGGGTTCAAATACGATGATTCCAGACATAAGCAACAAAGTCGCGCCTATAGATTATTATGGTAAGAGTGGGTTGGCTTGATGGAGAATAAATGTGTTGGTAATATTGATGCTAGTTTGACAACCTCTTATCGAACAAATTGATGCTTCCATGAGGCTAGATAATTCAGAGAGTCGTGTTGGTTTTTGTTAAAGATGGTGGTGGCGAGATAAAGATGGTTTGGTGGTGGCACCAACACTTTGGTGGTTTTCCAATGACAATGATGGTCATGGTCGAGCAATGATGGTCCATCAACGGTGAAAGTGGTTTCCAGATAATGGTGGTCCAATAGTCCGATGGCGACACCGATAACAATCGTGGTGGTTAGACCATGACCGGACCGACGACGATGGTCTAGTGGCGAGGACATTGGAGGTAAGGAAATGGTTGTCCAATGATGATGACTGTCCGATGATGGTGGTCCGACGCCGACAATGATGGTGGTGGTCAAATGACATTTCGATGTCGATGGTCCAATGGCGATGATGTTGGTGGTCGGGCAACACTAGCCTAATGACGACAATGGCTAAAGGATGATGGACAACTTGACAGTTGTGGTTCAACAACAATAATGATGGTAGCCAGATGGTGACCCTCGGGTGGTGGTTTGATGGGGATGATGGTGTTGATCAAGCAACGCTGTTCTGGTGGAGGTGACAACTAGACAACGGTAGTCCAATGATAGCTACATCGGTGGTCTATGGTGATGGAACACGAAAACCCTCAAGCTTGGAGCTAGTACAACCTTCTTCGCTAGGTCCAACCCACCCCCTTCATGAAGAGGGTGTGGTCTCTTTATAGATTTGTGAGTGCTATCCTTCATGCATATTGCATGAATGTGGACCGTTCATCACTCAACACAAAGTAATCCATTTGATTGTATGATATTTTTTATGTATTTAGATGTCTTAATATGTTATAACTAAGTGATATTGAGCTTGTTGAATTTTTCTTATTGAGATGCTCAACTTGGCTTGAAACTTATTCGATTAAATTTCATTTGACCCCTCAAAAGGTACTTAAAAACCTCTTACTATGCTTTAAATATTTGATTTGGACTTACTTGCACTTGTCTTATCACAACACTTCATTTGAATGAAACTATAGACAATTAAAAATTTGAAGCACTCAGTCTCAATAGCATCGAGATTTGTGCATGATTAAGCTCTTTTTTTTTTATATGCGCCGCGTGCTCGGATCAGTTGATCGGGTATCTGCTTATTAGTTATAAGTCCCCTTTGGTCTGGGGTTTGATTCCCCCTGCGTAGGGTGTGGTCCTCGAATTATAAGCGTATGAATATATATATATATATATATAT